GTGACCTGAGCCTAAGTCAAACACTTAACTGACTGAGCCACCCAGGTGCCCCCTTTATCAAGAATATTCTTAAGTGAAACTGGCCTGTGTGTGTGTCTGTGTGTGTAGCTAAGAGTTCATGACAGTATGCAGAATCAGGCAAGGATTGCTAGAGGAGTTTGGTACCTCTTCTGCACTCTTTTTTTTTTTTTTAATTTTTTTTTCAACGTTTTTATTTATTTATGGGACAGACAGAGACAGAGCATGAACGGGGGAGGGGCAGAGAGAGAGGGAGACACAGAATCGGAAACAGGCCCCAGGCTCCGAGCCATCAGCCCAGAGCCTGACGCGGGGCTCGAACTCACGGACCGCGAGATCGTGACCTGGCTGAAGTCGGACGCTTAACCGACTGCGCCACCCAGGCGCCCCCCTCTTCTGCACTCTTGCTTAAGGTGCCAGTGTTTTTAACCTGTAAGTGCTGTGGCACCATCAGTGCAAATGTCAGCATATAACGTATTTGTATTATCGGGAAACTAATTTTTACTTGAGGATTCCCTCAAAGAGTCTCTAAGACCCTGGAGATCCATGGACCTTACTTTAAGAATGGCCCGTAAGGGAAGAAGGTATAGTTTATAAAAAGAGGGCTACAGTAAACATTTTTCTAACCCCCCTCTTAACTGACTCGCCAGTGAAATTAGCCTCCATTCCTTGTGTCATCTGGCAGCAACTCTCACAAAATGCTGAATGTCAAGGTTGGTCAGCTGTCCTCTGCTATGTCCATTCATCTCTGTTCCCACCAGCAGAGTGAAGTGTTTTTGCAAATACCAGTTGTATTCTCAAATGACTTTATGCCAATGCCATCAATACTTTAGTTACACAATTTTAATATTATGTGAGTAAGTAGGAGTTCAAAAAGAAAACACTTAGTGTTTCTAAAACTAACTTAAATGCTTTGGAATGACTTACTGTAAAAGATTGCTATCATATAATTTACTGTGGATGAGATTTGTAAAAGGTTAGGGAAAAACATGCAAATCTGGAAGGATTCTGCATTCCTTCACAAATATCTTTGATTTCTATATTATAAAGAAACTAAAGCTTGCAATTGTGATGATGTGTTGTGTGTGTTCTTTGCAGGAAAGAACAATGAAACCAATCTTTAGACTCACATTTTTTTAAATTTTTTATTTATTTACTTATTTTTTTAATTTTTTTTTTTATTTGACGTTTATTTATTTTTGAGACATAGAGAGACAGAGCATGAACGGGGGAGGGTCAGAGAGAGAGGGAGACACAGAATCTGAAACAGGCTCCAGGCTCTGAGCTGTCAGCACAGAGCCCGATGCGGGGCTCGAACTCACAGACTGTGAGATCATGACCTGAGCCGAAGTCGGTTGCCCAACCGACTGAGCCACCCAGGCACCCCTCACATTTTTTTTTAAAAAAGGCTTTTATCTCACCTTCAAAAGATTAATGAATGTATGTACATACGGATATGTTAAGCTGAAGTAAAATGCATAAATTAATACCTGTATCTTTTTTTTTAATGATTCACCACTTAACCAACTTTTCCAGTAGATTTGCTGACCAGTAGTGAGAGTCACATTGAATCAGATAGTTACTTTGCGGCTATCCATGTGCTAGAAGCAAATTTCCTTTGGTTTCCATGATAGTAAAATATGCTCTCTCCCATCATTGCACTTTGAATCTGTGGCTGAGTCAAATTGTATTGGTAAAGTATTTAGATAACCTTTTAGAAATATAACTCTTACAGGTCAGATTTCATAATGATACAGTGATGAGCCGGATGGTATCAGCTTTTTTTCAAAGTCAGTATACTAGCATTTTGTTGAGTTGGGAACTGCCTGGAATAAGCAAGTATATGGGGGCATCTTGGGGATTTCATAGTTTGCCTAATTTCATAAATTGCATAATAATACTTCCTGAAGGATGAGAATTATAATAATAAGTGTTCTTTGATCTACGAAAATAAGTTCCCTGGTCAATCAGATGTGTCAGGATTGGGGTGATGGTAGCGGTTCACTGATGTCAGCTCTACCATGGCCAGGTACGTATGCTGTCGTTAATAGATGCATCGTGACATGGTGCAGAGACAGGGGCTGGGAAACAAATGGCCTGGACTCTCTGCCTGGCTTGCTTAGCAACCACCAGGAGTCAGTGAAGACTGTGTTCCTAACTCCCTAACAGTGAGCTTGCAGGATAAGTTGTTTTCCCTGGAAGTGGAGGGTTCATTCATACTCTTCACACTGTTAACAGTGTGGCCTGGTTTTGTAGGCCTGTTCCTTCTTTTTTCCTTTTTTTCCCAAAATGTTTACTGAGTATCTGCGGTGTGTCAGACACTGTTGTAGGGTTAGGGATCCTATAGTGAATACAATAGAGGCAAAAATAAAACCCTGCACTTGTAGAACTTAACACCTGGTAGAGGATACATATACATATACACATACATATACATGTACATATACATATGCAATCACACATACATACATGTATACATACACAAATGCTAAGAGGACAAAAAAAGTGACAAAGGGAAATGAGATACTGTTAGTTGGAATTCTGCAGGGTGACCATAGAAGGCAACATTAAGATCATGTCTTTTTTTTTTTTT